CTCCATGATATATACATAGTATACCATTTAAATTTTGTGAAAATTCCTTTTTTGGAGAAAAACAGACTATTAAGACATATTTTTAAACATTCATTGAATAGATTCAATTTATTTGTTTCTTCTTAAATTTTAATCTGTTACATTTATCTTTCATTCAAGTGTAGTAAAACACTCAGCACCTCACTGCCATAATAATCTTACTTTCAAGCAATAATGATCTCCCCTTTATTTAAGAACTGTACAATCTGTGCTTCTAACATAATGTATCCATATATATAAATTTATACAAGTAGGTAAAATTAATTCTTCCTAAAACACATATATGCCATAAGAACAATTTACTTATCTCCCTTAAATAACACTGGTTATATTCCTTCAACCAAACATTAGCTGATACATCATGGAAAAATTCACCAAAAATTATTTTCTACAAAACAAAACAATTAATTTTTTTTTTAAAGTAATACAGAAAATATCATCAGAACTGAAGCAAATTGATTTTATTTGTTATTTAAAACCTGGACACAAAATTCTGCTGTATGTATGTCTACCAGACATCAAGACTGTTTTTCCATGAAATTCTGTGAAATCAATATTTGTTAATTAAACATTCAGTAACAGGTGAATTCACATGAAATTCACAATTACAATTTTTCTGGATTTATCTTATTTCATTTTGCCAGCGTTTTCCTTTTCCTTACATAGGACCAATTCAAAGGGAAAGGACGATAAGCTTATTTCCCTTTGTCCCAGTGGGAGATAGAGGACGATGTGCTTGTTTCCCTGTGTCCCAGTGGGAGATAAAGGACGATAAGCTTGTTTCCCTGTGTCCCAGTGGGAGATAAAGGACGACAAGCTTGTTTCCCTGTGTCCTAGTGGGAGATAAAGGACGATAAGCTTGTTTCCCTGTGTCCCAGTGGGAGATAGAGGACGATGTGCTTGTTTCCCTGTGTCCCAGTGGGAGATAAAGGACGATAAGCTTGTTTCCCTGTGTCCCAGTGGGAGATAAAGGACGATAAGCTTGTTTCCCTGTGTCCCAGTGGGAGATAAAGGACGATAAGCTTGTTTCCCTGTGTCCTAGTGGGAGATAAAGGACGATAAGCTTGTTTCCCTGTGTCCTAGTGGGAGATAAAGGACGATAAGCTTGTTTCCCTGTGTCCTAGTGGGAGATAAAGGACGATAAGCTTGTTTCCCTGTGTCCTAGTGGGAGATAAAGGGCGATAAGCTTGTTTCCCTGTGTCCTAGTGGGAGATAAAGGACGATAAGCTTGTTTCCCTGTGTCCTAGTGGGAGATAAAGGGCGATAAGCTTGTTTCCCTGTGTCCTAGTGGGAGGTAAAGGACGATAAGCTTGTTTCCCTGTGTCCTAGTGGGAGGTAAAGGACGATAAGCTTGTTTCCATGTCCTAGTGGGAGATAAAGGACGATAAGCTTGTTTCCCTGTGTCCTAGTGGGAGATAAAGGACGATAAGCCTGTTTCCCTGTGTCCTAGTGGGAGATAAAGGACGATAAGCTTGTTTCCCTGTGTCCCAGTGGAAGATAGAATCGGCAGGAATCTGTACAAGTTTGTCTCTGATTTATTATACCAATGCTCATCTCTCGTATCCATTACATAGCGAAGGCTGACAAGTCCTCACAGAGGTCATGTCCATCTAATGGATGTAAACCATTTCTGAGAATTCTAGCCTAATACGGGTGAAGCCATTGATTCTGAGGGAGAAAAATCTATGATGTAGCATCTAACCAGAAGTTGGCACTCTTGTTGTTGCTATAACTTCCTTCAGCAATTCAACATGGAAAAGTGTATTTGAACTGTTTGTACTGCTATGCCTCATTTATGGTGTACAGGAGTGAATCTACCACTGGAAATTCAGTCACGCAATAGCTTCATTATTAAAAGTATTAATTTCTTGAAATCATACAGGATATTGGCTGATAATTACATCTTTCTAGAATCACTTCTAACATTTGTCTAAAAAAAAATATATGTATAAAATAAAGAGTAATTCAAGCCTGGTTTGAATTCATATCTGTAATTGATTATCTTAAGACATGGGGAATTAAAAAAAAATCCACATTTTCCATTTATATTTTTTCATTAAGAACATCCTCAAAGTAATCTAGTTTGGATATAAATTATGTGTACAATTTGTTTTAATCAACTATCACACTTTTGGAATTTCACGACTATACATTTACCTAGAGCTATTATTTTTTGTTATTCATGACATTGCCAGTGTTCTGTAAAGATTGCACGCTGCGTGACACAAAAAAGCAGCCAGACGAGCCATATTGATTATATATAGAAAGGAAAGTTAGGGACATAAATATTGTCACTATTTCTAATGAAGTTTCACAGAGTCAGGCTGATAGGGAATACATCAACATACCCACAGGTCTGCTTCCATTTTTGTATAGGTTAACAAGGGGAGATAACTCTCGACTGTTTTATTCTCAATATTTTACCAGACTTTCCAACAAGCAATATAAACAGTTTGACAGAGGCAGAAGGGGAAGCTTCAAGCCATTATGTCCATTTCACAATGATGATATAATACAAAATTATACAAAAAAATTATAGATATTTTCATTTAACATCTTTAAACTGTCTGATAGGAATTAACTGTTTAATTATATATTTTTGTCTTTCCACCATAAAAGTACCATGTTTACAGATAGCTTTAACATGATAGTATAATTTTATTTTTTGATACAAGCAATATATGAATTATATGATATATATATATTTGTAGTCTTCATGGTAAAGGGTACAAAGTCTGTCCTGATCCTTATATCTGGTAATTGACATTTTAACATGTGATAAGACATATTAGACCCTAACATATTGATCGATCAAAACTCAGGGGCTGACTGAAGTCATTACACACTCTGTCACTGTACACCACCGTTTTACCCTTAGATTTGCTGACAGCAGTACTTCTAGATCATTAGCCGACAGAAGTATCCAGAAGAGTCTTCCTGAACACAGCCAGTAAACATGTCATCAGCGGATGACTCGATTGATAAAAAGGAAAGTGTAATTATCAGCAACAAAAACCTCTTGGCCTCAACTGATTTTATGTTCCATGCCAGAATGAAGCAAAGCATAAAGAGGCCAGTTCTGCAGTCAACAACAAACCATATCATCAGAGACTTGTAGACTGTCAGGCAGAAGACTAGAGAGAGCAGAGAAGTCTGAAAATGTATCTCCAGAAAACAAACAGAAAGATTTCCTGTGATCAATATGATAATGAAAGATGAACATGACAGAGCATTCTAGTCAGATAATATAAAGTCTACACATATATTTAGAATTTGCAGTGTCCAGTACATATATAGCAAAATAATGAATTTGAAAAAAACTTCTGCTTAGTAAATCTTCAAATACTTTACAATTAGTATTTGCAACCTCTGAGAGGGCTTGTAATTACATGTTTTGCTACCTCTGAGATGGCTTGTAATTACATGTTTTGCTACCTGTTTAGATGGTACCTCAGAGAGGGCTTGTAATTACATGTTTTGCCACCTCAGTAGGCTTACTAGATGGTACCTCAGAGAGGGCTTGTAATTACATGTTTTGCTACCTCAGTAGGCTTACTAGATGGTACCTCGGAGAGGGCTTGTAATTACATGTTTTGCTACCTCAGTAGGCTTACTAGATGGTTTCCCTAAGAGAGGGCTTATAATTACATGTTTTGCTACCTCAGTAGGCTTACTAGGTGGTACCACGGAGAGGGCTTGTAATTACATGTTTTGCTACCTCAGAGAGGGCTTATAATTACATGTTTTGCTACCTCAGTAGACTTACTAGGTGGTACCACGGAGAGGGCTTATAATTACATGTTTTGCTACCTCAGTAGGCTTACTAGATGGTACCTCGGAGAGGACTTATAATTACATGTTTTGCTACCTCAGTAGGCTTACTAGATGGCACATATTTTTATGAAGGAATATTCTTTATCACACCAATATCATGAAGAATGTTTGTATAACATAGAATATAAGGGTCAGGAAAGACATTGTGTAAGAAAATTTATATACAATGAATATCTTACTGCAACATTTCAGAATCTACCAAGAATGAGGGTTGTTTATTAAGAACAAATAATTGTAAATAATACCTGTACATGAAGGATATTTGTCTTCTATGATTTCTGTACATATACAACACCTGTATGTATAGATATATAGGAAACCTGTATACCTGTATATGAAGTACACCTGTATATTAAGTACACCTGTATATTATGTACATCTGTATATAAAGGACACCTGTACATAAAGGACACCTGTACATAAAGGACACCTGTGTATAAAGGACACCTGTATATAAAGGACACTTGTGTATAAATGACACCTGTATATTAAGTACACCTGTATATAAAGGACACCTGTATATAAAGGACACTTGTTTATAAAGGACACCTGTATGTAAAGTACACCTGTATTTAAGAACATTTGTGTATAAAGGACATAAGCATATACAGTCAACTGTAAATAAAGGGCATCCCTGTGTAAAGGACACCTGTATATAAAGGACATTTGTATATAAAGGACACTTGTATATAAAGGACACTTGTATATAAAGGACACTTGTATATAAAGGACACCTGTATATAAAGGACACTTGTATATAAAGGACACCTGTATATAAAGGACACTTGTGTATAAAAGATATATATATATATATATATAAAGTACACTTGTTTAGTGTAAACATACCTATTTTAACAGTGATCTTGTTTATCAATGCTTTCCATAGTGTATTGACCTTAAGTGTGACACAGAAAGTATGTACTTAATTTCTGTATGTTATTTACACAGTTATTTTTACGGATGACCAAATTCATCTTTGTTCGAAATTGCCAAAAATGATTATGTACTATTACTTGGGACTGCCAAATTAAGTATGTTTACAGTATGAAGAAATCCTGTTTATAGATAGACTTTTAAACCAGAAAGTGATGACTGGTGTCCTAGGAGGAACCAAAGCTTGTACTTACCAAGTAGTCATTGTACGCAGGAAGTTGGTTGTCGGAATCTGTATGATTAGGAATATCTTTGATTTGGTTATCTGCCACTGACGGGAAGTTGACATTTTTTGTAGGGATGGGTTGTGGATATGTATCTTTATTTGCATTGTGAGTGAGGAAACCACCATCGCTGTAAAACAAACAAAAATAAATCAATATCTTATTCATCATCAATAGTTATTGTATCATTCTTAAAATCCAAAACTGAAAGAAAAGTTGTTGAAATTTGTCAACAAAAACAGTAAACAGGAGATATATTCAAAGTCTGATATTGTAAATTTACATGAACACAAAAACCAAAGGTAGGGTAAGGATAACAGCATAAAGTATTAGCCAGACTACAATGAACTGTGAGTTAACCCCTGCTGGATCTCCATTACAGGGAAGTCAATATTCAAATATACAGCTTGCTCATGTTATGGCTGAGACAACCATCAATCTGCATCATGTTTATTCTTAAATCGATTCAGCTGAGCAACAGCCATACTGTTAATTAATACAATGATCACTCAGTATAAATATTCAATGGAAAGGCCAATATGATTGGTCTAGTCATGAATGTTTTGTTATATTTGTAATACAATTTGCATCTAAAACTCCAGCATAACCTGAAAACAGTCAAATTATGAATTATTTCCCAGAAATTTTGCATCTTGCAAATCAAAAAAAAAAAAAAAAAAAATTCTGCTTTCAATCAGAACAAGAACACAAAGAGTATGACTACCAAAATAAAAGTAGGTCGTAGTAACCTATATTCTACACAGAGATGTTCATGTCAGTTTTTTAAGTGACTGTACCCAACCTAAAGCATTATAGAATGGGATATTGTCCAAGAATGAGTGACATATGGACAAACAGGACACAAACTTGTTGCTTTCCCAATATCTATTTTGTGGCTTTAGTAAACAAAATAATCAAGTGTTTTGAGAATTATCTTCAATGCATGAAAAATTTTGGCAACAACTGTATATTGGATAATACAGATTTTTTTCTCTTCAAGCAAAACTGTTTGACAGCCATCAAAATAAACATCAAGATAGTGACATTACCCATCTGTCTCTGACTGTTGACATCGCATACATCGCAATATCTGTATAATGTTGACACGTGGGACAGCGTCCAGATACTGACCAATCAGGTGAAAGTAACGTTTATCCATGTTAAAGCAAAACGCGAAAGTTACAGGACTGGACACATACAGAAAGAGTTCACACTTTGAAAGAGTTGTTTTAAAACATTTAAAGTTCCCACGTAAAACAAGTTCAATTTTCCTGATCAGGTTACATTAATGAATTGTGTTATTTCACCAAGACAAATTAATATCTTGATATTTACAACAGAGAAGTTCACATGATGTAGACCGCTACACAAGATTCTGTATCCATGATGAAACCAAACAAACCATGAGATGTATCATCTAACATGTCAACAGGAGCATACATCCTGTTACCAAGATCACTGAAGCTTAAAAAGAACTGAAGATAAACTATGTGGTAATCAATCCGAACAAAAATCAGCCCCAGTAACAGTAAATAGCAGTATGACACAAGCCATGTTTTACCACAGTTCTTAGCATGAGAAGAACTACTATAAACTGTTTCTAAGTGAACACAATCCTATTACACAGAACACACACACGCGGCAGAAAAAAATAATCTCGAAGATTTGATATCGTTACCAAGATATCACAATCCTATGAAAATCTAGAAAAGTTTGCCGTAAATCCACAACACAATCTCTATCAATCAATATCACCTCCAGTGCGTTTAGATATCAACAACATCAGCGTTAATTTCAAAATTGTCTTCCTTCCAATTTACCAGTATTGAAGGCTTCTTTTTTCTGAATTTCAAATCTATTGACATTTCCACAGAATGGTACGAGCAGTCTTCCTGGTTCAATGGTGTCCCTGTAGAATCCAAATGGCTTTCAAACTACCAGATAACCAAAAAGCTTACAGCACTATCCTCACTTTCCACAAAGTTGGTGATATTTTATCAAAATTTCAGACAACACAAACATGAAATAAATCGCACATATGTTTGGCTATAAATGGAAGAACGAGGAGCACCGACAGATTTGTAGTACTAATAGCTAGGATGAGAGGTAGCTGCCACATATGACATCATTCTCTCGCTGCTGGCTCGGCAAACCTTTCAACCGTCCTTTGCCGTATATGATGGAAAGACTCCAGTACATCTTGTCGTCCCCAACACAGCCTACATGGATGTCAAGCCCTCATAACTTGTCTATCCTTTATATAATTACATCTGTTTTCCGACACTCCTGCAGGGCCAAGTTTTTCTTGATTTACGTGTTTGTTTCAACAACATAGAAACGAATGTTTACACATCAGTCAATAAAATGTGACCTTGTAAAGGCCAGGAGTTCATCAAACATGTATTCAGTATTTTGAATAATCCGAAGATGATCCTACCCTGAGAAAAACTATGGTAATACAGTGAAATGCATTAGGTTAAATTGGAAGTAGGTTGATCAATACCAGTGTAGTAGTGGGAGTCAGTATCGTGGATACAGATCACGCCAACTCGGCTCTGTGCTGTAGTACCAGAGTCACGCTACTGATCGCCACCAACAAAATATAGTCTCCAAAGTGCTTGTAATTTTGATAAACCGTGATTAATTATCCCAATGGAGTTATTCCGTAGATCAGTCCATACAAAAAGCTACTGGAAAACGTGTAATGTTCAATGGAATGCCATCATTATTGTAATTATTGACTCAACCAATCAGCTTCATTGTTCTAATCATTGTTTGACAAAGCTGCTAATGGTCATTAAATCTATAAAGTACTGTACAATGTTACTATATCTCTTCAGATGTAGCCATCGTTCTCTGTACTGAAACAAACTTGTCAACATACTATTCCACAAATGACTAGATAACACTTCTTTGGAATGAATCATCCTCCATAATGGAAAGTTAATAAATTTGAAATTGAATATCGCACCTAGAATCTACCAACAGACCCAAAAATATTACTGTTTCAGTAATACACATAAAGGATGTAATAAGATGAATCCAAACAATCAATTTATCATCAGCAGCAAACTTAACGCATGTTTCCATATATGGAAACTGTATTGCTATTGGTTTATGTGACTAAATTGACTTAATTTCTTTCTAGACAGGTGGCCCTTTAACAAAGGTTACATTACTAGGAACTGTTTTACACAAGAATCAAACAAGTACCTTTTGGAAATCTTACTATGTCAACTAATTAGTGAGAATGATCAAATCTAATTAACCACCGAATACATATTGTGTAGTAAACTGGCGATTCCTATTTAACATCATATATATTTCAGGCGTATGACAGAATATCTAGATTTTTTACGTATGCTTTGCAAATATTAATGCGTTCTATGACATTAGTTTGCTATTATGTCTGACACCTGAAGATGACAATATTCTGAACAGAATGCTTTACTTTGTATTTTACTATTTTATGCTGTTATCTAGTAAGAATCATTTACAAAACTTTTCTGCTATCACATCAAATCAACAAACCCCTTTGGAGGCCAATACACTACCCTAGTGATTCCAAGTGAGGGGAAGGAGGGGTGGGCTTATTAAGGGCAGAAAAAAAAACAATACAGGTAGGCTTAATACCAGACATAGGCTAATTGGAGGATATATTCTACCTTCTAGCAATTGGTTAAAATAATTAACATCGTTCAGTCATGTGAGGCGATCATAACTAACATAACCTTACAGGGGGAGGAGAGGAGACAAATTCTGAAGCTGACTATAAGGTATCTTTAAGGAAACAAACAATAACACAAACCTAGTAGTCCTGCATTGACTAATAAGTATCAGAGCAATGTTTCCATTTAAACGAGGTGTTAAACTAGGTTCATATAAATATTTATAAGTGATTATCAATATTAACGATCTTAATACATACGTTTCATAATTCCATAAAATTTCAATTACAATACAAATTTAAATGAACTAAAAAGTAAGAAAAGAAGAAGAAAAAAAAAGAAGGAAAACATGGCTGATTATTACTGGAATATTTTATATCATCTTCCAATATCATATATAAGGGGAAACAACTCTCATTGCAAATTACAATCCTAAACCAGTAACTTGTCTTATAAAAACTAATGTAAAAGGAATATCTAATTTTCACTTGTCAAGTCACATTTAAGGGGGGACAACTCTGACCAGACATCTCTATCACAATGGATCTGGAATTAATTACTTCATGAATCCCATTAATCAACACTACACTTAAAAGACTGTGGCAATTTTTTCTTTACAACTGAAGTCAAGCAGTTCAAGTAAATATCCAACACCTTAAACAAAACAATAATATTTCATTATATTTTAACTCTTTAATAGTGACCTAGGTATAATAAAGATAACTTGAAATATACAAACCTTAAATGATTTGATTTGCTTCAATTCGGACATTACTGATCTTGGGTCAATTAAGTCTTTCTTGAAAACTTTCACAGACTGATTATGTTTGTGACTTTGTGAAACAGAAATCACAAGAAAATGGTCATGCAGAGTAATCTTTAAAAAAAATAATATTTTGGGCAACTGGAGGGCTCAACAGTTGGAGAAACTATAGGATTTTATTAAAACAATACTTGAACAATCTATTCTTGTCAATGTTTTCTGAAACGCTTACACCAAGTGTTTCTCTTTAAAAGTGACCTCAGATGTCATATTTGTACTTCCAAAAATATCTTGCGATTTTCAAACATCTCATAATGATGATGGTTTAATTCAAGACGTAATTTAAAGCAAAGAGGAGGTTCTATCCTAGTACTTGGTCATATTTACATAAACTTCTTAGAATGAACCATCCACTCCAAGTACAAGATGGATGTGTACAGTCTACAAGTAAAAATCACATATGGCCGTTCCTATTCCTAAGACAACAGTGAGGTAAATATGTGTCCATATTTATTTGTGATCAATACTATGTATTCTTTATAGACACAATTCACAAGTTTACTATCAAATATTTACCAAATTATCTAACTAAAGTAGGCACCTCAACATAATGAACACAAAACATTATACCCAAGTGTACCCAATTCTAGTTATTCTAATATTGTCACAGAGAAAATCCAATAATCTAGTATCTTTCTT